GTAGAGACGGGGTTTCACCATGTTGACCAGGATGGTTTCGATCTCTTGACCTCGTGATCCACCCGCCTCGGCCTCCCAAAGTGCTGGGATTACAGGCTTGAGCCACCGCGCCCGGCCTATTAGTATTGTTTTTGTTGTATGTTGCTTTTCTGCCGACAGCAAAAATGTAGGAGGTAAGTTAAAATTTCCAGGATGGACATGGTGGCTCATGCCTGTAATCCCAGTGTTTTGGGAGGCTGAGACTGGAGGACCGCTTGAGACCAGGAGTTTGAGACCAGCCTTGGGAATGTTGCGATACCTTGTCTCTAAAAAAATTAAAACAAAACTGGGTATGGTAGCTTGTGCCTGTCATCTCAGCTACTAGGAGGCCGAAGTGGCAGGATTGCTCGGGAGTTCGAGGCTGTGATTAGCTATTATCGTGCCGCTGTACTCCAGCCTGGGTGACAGCTAGACCCTGTTTCTATTGAGAAATTTCCCATGGAAACCAAAAGGCCTTTTCCCAATTCATTAAGTCTATCTGATTTCTACATAATAATTTTTGCAAAAAATATCAGTTTTGATCAGTTTTTCCTGAGTGAAGAGATGCCGGGTGAAATAGCTCTCTTTGGCAAAATGCCCCAACAGTGCAGTGAAGGAAATTAGACCAGAACTCTTCCAATCTGTGTGTCTGAGGTTTCAGTTATCTTGGGGGAAACAGCCTGGAGGATCCGCTCGGACCTGTGGTAGCTGCGACATCCAGTGTCTGCCCCTAAGCAGCCTCCTCCGTTGACTCCAGTGTGCTGCAAATATGTGGTCATTTTCAGAGGTAGGCAGCTGGAGTTAGGGGAATTGAAGTGGATGCAGAAAAGAGTTTGCTATGGATCGCTGGGCACAGTGGCTCACAGCTGTAATCCCAGCACTTTGGGAGGCTGAGGTGGGTGGATCACGAGGTCAGGAGTTTGAGACCAGCCTAGCCAACATGGTGAAACACCATCTCTACTAAAGATGCAAAAAAAATAAAATAAAATTAGGCAAGCGTGGTGGTGTGCACCTGTAATCCCAGCTACTTGGGAGGCTGAGGCAGGAGAATCACTTGAACCTGGGAGGTGGAGGTTGCAGTGAGCTGGGATTGCGCTACTGCACTCCAGCCTGGGTGACAGGGTAAGACTCTGTCTCAAAAAAAAAAAAAAAACAAACAAAAGTTTGCTAAGGAGCCAATGCCACAGAAGTTAGAGCATTCTATATTCAGCCTGGCCTATTCCCAGATGATTTCAGAGGATTAATAATTGGGCTGTGTGCAGTGGTTCATGCCTGTAATTCCAGCACTTTGGGAGGCCAGGGCGGGTGAATCATCTGAGGTCAGTTCAAGACCAGCCTGACCAACATGGTGAAACCCTGTCTATACTAAAAATACAAAAAATTAGCTGGGCGTGGTGGCATGTGCCTGTAATCCCAGCTACTCGGGAGGAGGCTGAGGCAGGAGAATCACTGGAACCCAGGAGGCAGAGATTGCAGTGAGCTGAGGTGACACCACTGTACCCCAGCCTGGGTGACAGAGCAAGACTCTGTCTCAAAAACAACAACAAAAAAAATAGGCCAGGTGTGGTGGCTCATGCCTGTAATTCCAGCACTTTGGGAGGCTGAGGCCGGTGGATCACCTGAGGTCACAAATCAGGAGTTCAAGACCACCCCGGCCAACATGGTGAAACCCTGTCTGTACTAAAAATACAAAAACTAGCTGGGAGTGGTGGTGGACACCTATTATTCCAGCTACTTGGGAGGCTGGGGCAGGAGAATGGCTTGAACCTGGGAGGCAGAGGTTGCAGTGACCCGAGATCGTGCCATTGCACTCCAACCTGGGCAGCAAGAGCAAGACTCTGTCTCAAAAAAAAGAGAGCAGATGTGGCCAGTAGATGGGTTTGGGAGTGTTTGCTGTTTGGTTGCTCAGAGCTGTCAGCAGTGTCCTGGAGAATCAGCATGTTTGTTTATCCTGCACTTTTCTGGAGAAAAATGTCCCCCAAGACACGAAGAAATGAGGTTTCGTTAGATAATCAAGTTATGGTTGGCATTTGCAGATACAGTGATGAATGTCTTGCAGATCCCGATTGAATTCTCGCCAGAAGTGGAAGGATTGCTTTTGGGTGCTTAATCCAGTTATCCTGCTTTGGGTTGGTCTCTCTTTGAGGTTATTTACTCAACCGGAACTCAAAACAGTGGGAGCGTTGCAGACCCAGGTATGTCAAATCTCAGGGCACTGCCAGGGGAAGGGATTTGCCGCCGCCTCCCGCACGAGCTGTGGATTTGAATCTGTGTGCAGGAGCCAGACCTGTGTTTCCATGGGAGCTCCTTGAACGGCGTGTGTGGGAGAGGCAACCACATATTGACAGCTGTTGTTCTTTGTGGTTGATTTCAGGATGTGGGTAGTCTGTGTGCTCTGCACAGACCTTAGAAACGATTATAACTCTAGGCTACATAGTGGGCAGCAGCAGTGAGTGAAGAGTGATCGGACTTAAAACCTTCCTCATTAGCCTAGTGGCCGATTTAGCAAGGTTAATGGAAACCCAGGGTGGCTGAAGTGTCACCCAGAGGTCTGGAAAGCACCCCGTGCATCAGCCTGCGTAAGGCGGTGTCAGGAAGCCAGGACAGATGAGGGGAGCCCGAGGAGGAGGAGCAGAGGAACAGTTTACAGAAGTGATCTTGCAGGTGTGTCCCCAAGGGCGGAGGAGGAGCCCGAGGGGACCTCAGGATGTTTGCCCGGTCTGGAATTCTCGGCCGCCTGCACTGATTCTTCTCCCATTGGATGTGACGGCCACAGCAAAATCGAGGCTAATTCTGTAGCTACTCAGATTTCCAGTTGAAATGCAACTGTTGAAGAGGGTAGACCCCACTGTTAGCTCTTGAGCTGTAGTAGTCCAGGCAGCTGGCAGGATTCGGGCACAGGTAGCTGGCGACTGGGTTTGGAGTCATCCCTTTCTTCGCATCTTCTCTGGCGTCCTTCCCTTGTTCCCGACCTTCTTGCAGAGCTTCCTAATTGGTTCCTGTCTTAAACTGTTTCCTTTCTAACCAGCGCTCTGGAGTGATGCCGGTGTTTGTAAAGAAACTTTCTCCACGCGTTTTATGTATGTTTGATGACTCTCTGTTGCATTATGGGGTGGAATAAAATGGATTTTGGATCGAGGCTGACTTGGGTGTAAATTCGCACTTGTTCATTTGTACGCAGTGACACAGCTCTTTGCTGCGTCACTTTTTTTCTGCTGTGAAAAAGGAAAACCACCCAGCAATCAGCGGAACGCCTGGGCCTGGTTAGCAGCGGCAGCAGCAGTGGGGGTGGTGGCTTTTGCTGCTGCTGTTGTTATTACAGGGTCTTTAGAGCTCTTTTCTTTTGGAGACGGAGTCTTGCTCTTTTACCCAGGCTGGAGTGCAGTGGCATGATCTTGGCTCACCTCAACATTCTGCCTCCTGGGTTCAGGTGATTCACCTGCCTCAGTCCCCTGAGTAGCTTGGGACTGCAGGTGCGTGCCACCACGCTTGGCTGATTTTTGTATTTTTAGTAAAGATGGGGTTTCACCATGTTGGCCAGGCTGGTCTCAAACTCCTGACCTCAGGTGATCTCAGCCTCAGCCTCTCAAAGTGCTGGGGTTACAGGCATGAGCCACTGTGCCCGGCCTGGATCTTAGAGCTTTTCTTCTGTCGCTGGCCACTCCTCCTCAGTCGCTTCTGTGGGACATTTCTCTGGTTGCAGAGTATTGGGTGTACCTCGAGGCTCAGACTTGGGAGGCCTGGCTTCTTGGGAGAACTTCTAGGGTGTGGCTGGCCCTCCTTCATGGCCTCCCCCCTTCCATATCTGTCTCTCGAGCTGCTGCCTGGATACCTCTGTCTGAGTATCTAATGACCATCTCAGATTTACCATGTCAAAACTAAGACCCTTCATACCTGCTCATCCTGTAGTCTTTCCCTTTGTAGTAAATGACAGTTCCAGTTGCACAGGCCACAGATCTTGGAGTTGTCCTTGACACTCCCCTTCTCCCATGCTCTGCACCTAAATCCATTGGCAAATTCTGTGAGCCCGACTTCCAGAGTCACATGCCCCCTCTGACATGTTTCACTCTTGTGCTGCTAGTCTGCTCTGGCCTCCTGGAGACTCCCTGCCCTCCTTTGCTTCCCTGCATCTGTGCTCAACTCAGCAGCACAGTGACTTTTACTTTTTTTTTCTTTACATAATAGAGATCCAAGTCAAAGCAGAATGCTTTTTAAAAGACCGAGGTCATCTTTCGCTGCTCTAAAGCCTCCAATACCTCTCATTTGGAGCAGAGACTAGCAAAGACTTTGAAGTGGCCTGCAAGGCCCTTTATGATGTGGCCTGGCCCCTTGTCCCTTGTGACCTCGTTTGTAGTAGCCCCAGCCCATCTGCTCCAGTCACACAGGTGCTGGCAGTCCCTGTCATAGGCTGAGCTCCTTCCCACCCCAGGGCCTTTGCTGTTGTCCCTTGTCCGTCGGGCCCTAAATGATTACTTACAGAATAGGAGAGTGCACTGAGTAATTTCCACACATGCACATATCGGATGAGAGTGTAGCTTCCTCCACTAGTTGGCTTGGTCCTGCTGCAAGCTCCTCTTTCTCTGCAGGGACCCGGCTAAGCTGTGCCCCTTCCTGATGGCGCTGCTCCTGCACCTCACCCCTCACCCCGACTTGTGTTGCCCGTCGGCTTTGCTTTTCCTGTCCTACTGTGTTATCCTCTCTGTATCCCTGTATCATGAGCAGTTGGGTGATACTATTACAACTGCTTCCAGGCTACCGGACACCTTTTCAATTCCTACGTCATGCACTTTTGAACATGTGTCCCAAGTTGGCCCCTGTTCTTTCCCCTGTAGATGCTATTTATCTGGAGATTCCTATGGTAATGGTGCCCTGTAGAAGGTCATGTGCTGGGGTGAAGCTTGTGGCTGCTCATCAGTGCCGAGGGCAAGGCCTGCCTATGCACCTCAGGTGCTTAAGAAATCATAGTTACCCTCACTGCTTTTCCCCTCTCCTTTTGATGGATAGCTCAAGGATGGTTTAGCGTTATGACATTTGGTTCTTTTTCATTTGATTGTGGATGTTTGCCTCAAGTTTTGAATATATGATAATGAACTTTTAATTTATTTTTAGTTTTTTGAGACAGTCTCACTCTGTCCCCCAGGCTGGAGTACAGTGGCACAATCTCCGCTCACTGTGACCTCCGCTTCCTGGGCTCTAGGGATTCTCGTGCCTCAACCTTCTGAGTAGCTGGAATTACAAGCATGTGCCACCACACCCTTGAATTTTTAGTAGAGACAGGGTTTTGCCACATTGGCCAGGCTCGTCTTTAACTTCTGACCTCAGGTGATCCATCTACCTTGGCTTCTTAAAGTGCTGGGATTATAGGCATGAGCCACTGTACCCGGCCTGACAATGAACTTTTTGGTTTCTCAGTGAAAGTTTGGATGACTTAAAGGATAAAAGTATTATGTACTCCTGAAAAAATGTCAAGCAGACTAGAGGGTATAAAATGAGAAGTTAAAGTGCTCATGCTCTGGAATGAAGAGTAGCTACTTTTATGTCTTTTGTGAATCTTTTGAAATTACTGTTTCTTAACATGTGCTTTTAGATATTAGAAATGTTGATTTGTCAAAAAACCTGTTGTCGTCTTGGGATGAAGTGATACACATTGCTGATCAGCTCAGACACCTGGAAGTCCTTAATCTCAGGTACGAACTTCTGGTTGCCGAATTTCACAATTAAACTCATCTCTCCTTGCTTCCTCCCAGCGTCTCTGTGGAAATGAGGTAGGGAGCCGGAGGGTGAAGACTGCCACTGGATGATCCAAGGTATCAGGAAGAAATTACTCAAGCAGATAGTGAGGGTATGGAAGTCCTCAGTAAGGTTTTCCTTTTAATGAAAAGCAGCCCCAAATTATTTTTCTTTCTAACAAAGAGCAGCCTGAGAAATCCAGCTGCAGACATAGCTGCTGCCAGTTGCGCCAATCATGTTCAAGGTGGCGGCTCCCTCTTCCCTTCTCCAGCCATGTGTTACAGTAAGCAGGCAAGATGGCGCCAGCCAAAGGGCAAGTTCATTGACACAATAAGATTAGGGTGGGGTGGCCAGCCTTCCCCGCTAAGTAAACGTCATGCCTGATGGAAGCAATCTGTGAGCGCTTGGTAAATCAGACACTGCCTCCTCCAGCGGAACTCTAAACTCTGTGCATCTGCTGCCAGCTTGCCTTTTTCCTCTTGGAAGTCCCCTCTCTCTCACTAGGGAGAGAGCTGTTTTCCTTTTTCTTTCTCTTTCTCTTGCCTGTTAAATCTCCGCTCCTGAACTCCTCATGTGTGTCCTTGTCCTAAGTTTTCCTGGCGTGAGAAGAGGAATGCCAGGTATGTACCGCAGACAGTGTGGCCCCTTCACTAGTTGACATTTTTACACAGGCAGATTTTGGTTTACTTGAATTTTTCTAAATTTAAGGACACATTTAATCTTTAAGGACAAAAAGTGATTTTTTAAAAAATGTAGCCGGGCGCGGTGGCTCAAGCCTGTAATCCCAGCACTTTGGGAGGCCGAGGCGGGTGGATCACGAGGTCAAGAGATCGAGACCATCCTGGTCAACATGGTGAAACCCCGTNGTTAGCCACTGCTCCTGGCCTAATTTTTGTATTTTTAGTAGAGATGGTGTTTCACTATGTTGGCCAGGCTGGTCTTGAACTCCTGACCTGCTGATCCGCCTGCCTTGGCTTCCCAAAGTGCTGGGATTACAGGCATGAGCTACTGTACCTGGGCTATTATATATTTATATATATATAATTATATATATAATTTTTTGTAAAAAAAAAGTTAGGCCCATGTGCAGTGTGGCAGCAGCAGGCACAGCCTCGACATGCAGAAAGACACCAGCACATTCGTGGACCTGTGCATGCTGCAGAAATGCTCCACCAGCAACTGTGTCATCAGTGGTAAGGACCACGCATCCATGTGGATGAACGTGGCCGAGGCCACCAAGGTCATGAGCAGGTTTAACATCCACTTTAAAACCTGTGCTTATCTGCAGGACTGTTTGTAGGATGGTTGAGTCAGATGATTCCATTCTTCGATTGGGCACAGCCAAGGACATCATCTCAAATAACTACCTTTTTTTTTTTTTTTTTTTTTTTTTTTGAGACGGAGCCTCACTCTGTTGCCTAGGCTGGAGTGCAGTGGTGTGATCTTGGCTCACTGCAACCTCCACTTCCTGGGCTCAAGCGATTCTCCTGCCTCAGCCTTCCAAGCAGTTGGGATTATAGACGAGCGCCACCACGCCTGGCTAATTTTGTATTTTTAGTAGAGATGGGGGTTTTACCATGTTGGCCAGGCTGGTCTCAAACTCCCAACCTCAAGTGATCCATCCGCCTCAGCCTCCCAAAGTGCTGGGATTACAGGCATGAGCCACTGTGCCCAGCCTCAAAGAACTTTTGACTGGAGAGAATCATGGATGTGGAATATTTGTCATAAATACATAATGAAAACTTAAAAAAAAGTATCAAAAAAATAATAAAAGAAGAAATAATTGTTGAGAAATTTTGTCTGATTAGCATATCCTTTACAAACCCAGATTGGCATTTAGAATTGAGGAAAGGTGTTTAACATCAATTTACTTCTTTTGGTTAAGCAAATTCTATCAAATAATAACATGTGCAGTTGGCCAGGCATGGTGGCTCACGCCTGTAATCCCAGGACTTTGGAAGGCTGAGGTGGGTGGATCACCTGAGGTCAGGAGTTCAAGAGCAGCCTGGCCAACATGGAGAAACCCTGTCTCTACTAGAAATACAAAAAATTAGCTGGGTGTGGTGGTGATTTCCTGTAATCCCAGCTGCTGGGGAGGCTGAGGCAGGAGAATAGCTTGCACCTGGGAGGTGGAGGTTGCAGTTAGCCGAGATTGCGCCATTGCACTCCAGCCTGGGCAACAAGAGTGAAACTCCATCTCAAAAAAAAAAAAAAAAACAACAAAAGAAGTTTGGTTTCATAAAGAGTTGACATACAACTCTGTCTTCATATTAATCATCCTAATATCTATTAATAGATAACAGAATTTTTTTTATTTTTTTGAGACAGAGTCTTGCTCTGTCGCCCGGGCTGGAGTGCAGTGGTGCGATCTTGGCTCACTGCAACCTCTGCCTCCTGGGTTCAAGCGATTCTCCTGCCTCAGCCTCCTGAGTAGTGGGACTACAGGTGTGTGCCACCACGGCTGGCTAATTTTTTTGTATTTTTAGTAGAGATGGTGTTTCACTGTGTTAGCCAGGATGGTCTCAATCCCCTGACCTCGTGATCTGCCTGCCTCAGCCTCCCAAAGTGCTGGGATTACAGGCGTGAGCCACTGTGTCCGGCCAACAGAATTCTTTAAACTGCCTTATAAAAGAGGATTGTAGTTGAGTTCTCCATCTAGGCATCCATGTCCTCCCTCTGCTCATTTTGACTTGTTCTGATGCCTTTATAAACAGTGGTGCTCCATTGTGGTATGCAACAAACATGAGCTTTGACAAGCCTTAGTGTTAGCTATTGACTAGCTTCCTGAGTTTTCCTGTGAGTTTTTTTTAGAACAGAAGTCAAACAGCAGAAAGGTTCTCACATCCTTATCTTGTTAGAAGTTCAGCTCTTGGAATCCACTGTTCGTTTTATACAGCGGGGCGCAGAAGTAGATTTGTGGGTCCTTGCACAGCAGCATTTGGGACTTATATCTGGCACTACTATTTCCTGTCAGAGGTGTACTGACTTCACACACCCAGAGCATTCCACTGTCAAACCAAGGCAAGGGTGTAGAAATACATTCCCAGCCATGTTCACCCGGGAAGTGCCACAGAGGCCGCTCAATGAGAGACAAGTGGGCCCCTTGTGCCCTCATTATGCCCATGGCCATGGAGCCTGTTCCCTAGGGCTCTACCTCTGTGAGGCGCTTACTCCCTCTCCAGGTGTAGATGTGGCTGGAAGACAAGAAGGGGCCAGGCAGTGGGGCTCCTACTTGCAATCCCAGCGCTTTGGGAGGCTGAGGTGGGAGGATCATTTGAGCCCAGGAATTTGAGGCTGCAGTGAACTAGGATTGCACCTTGGCGCTCCAGTCTGGGTAACAAAGCAACACCCACCTACCCTCCAAATAAACCAGGAGGGGCACACAGAAATTCAGGTGGTGGAGATGGCAGTAAAGTTCCAGTGAGAACATTTAGAAATAGTTGATGAGGCTGGGCATGGTGGCTCTTGCCTATAATTCCAGCCAGCACTTTGGGAGGCCCAGGCAGGAAAATCACTTGAGGCCAGGAGTTCAAGACCAGCCTAGGCAACATAGATCCTGTAGATGCCATATGTATATAAAATATTATGTATTATTATTATTATATGTATATATATTTTTGAGATGGAGTCTTGATCTCTTGTCCAGGCTGGAGTGCAGTAGTGTGATCTTGGCCTCCCACAACCTCTGCCTCCCAAGTTCAAGTGATTCTCCTGCCTCAGCCTCCTGAGTAGCTGGGATTACAGGCACACGCCACCATGCCCAGCGAATTTTTTTTGTATTTTTAGTAGAGACAGGGTTTCACCATGTTGACCAGGATGGTCTCGATCTCTTGACCTCGTGATCCACCCGCCTCGGCCTCCCAGAGTGCTGGGATTACAGGCTTGAGCCACCGCGCCCGGCCAGGTTTTTTAAATTAAACCTTATTTTGACGTAATTGTAGATTCACGTGAAGTTTTATAAGAAATAATACACAGACCTTCCCCAGTAGTCAAGACTCAAACTACCTGCCCGCTGACGTTATTTTTATAATAGATCAAGAGGTCAACAGCAGGCGTGGGGAGCCGAGTCTTCTGTGCTCAGGCCCTCACGCTGCAGACGCCCCCTAGAGGAGCATTCCTGCCCTTCCAGCATTCCCTGCAGCACAGCCGGACGGGACAGGCAGCAGCCCAGGAGAGGCTCTATGCACGGATTTCAAAATCTGTTTTCCACGCTCTGCCCTTACAATTTTTTGGTAATACTGTGGTCTATTTATACAAATATTAAAATCCTGTTTATAGAAAAAAAAAATACACAGAGATCCCCTGTATCCAGGTTCCCCCATGGGTGACAAGTTACAAAACTGATATAGGATTACGTGCTCGGTGTGACAGTGATGGAGTTGGGTATGTGTGCATCTCCATGGGGACTGCTCAGGGTCTTTGACAGTCACATCCTCTTGCCTCTTACTCCCAGCCCTTCAGCACACCAAATGCAGGTATTTTAATGCGTTATCTTTGAAAACGAGAGATAAATTCATGGTGAAAAACATTTTATTTTCCATACAGGCCAACAGATGTTCTCCAGACAATCAAGTTATTAGACCTTTCCTCTAATCAATTAATTGATGAAAATCAGCTGTTTCTGATAGCCCACCTGCCCAGGTAATTTACCCCTAAATGCTTGATACAATAGCGTTGTCAATTCTTAGTGTAGGAATTTTCGTATGCTCTGTATGCTTTCTCAATAGAAATGTGATCACGATGATGGATTTTCTAAATTGAGTAATTCCCTTTGGGAAATTTTTATTTGAATTCATTTAGAGAATTTACTTGTGAACCCTGTATAATGTGGACTCTGTCTGTACCAGATAATCTGACCCTGGTGAGAATGCCAGCGGTCTTCATTCACTGAACTCCACCAGGAGACCATGTCTCTTTCCTGAGAGCCAGTTAGCACCTGACAAAGCAGTAGGTACTCAAGAGCCATCAAGTGACTGTAGAATCATTAGAATGTAGTATCAGGAGTTCACGTTGCTTGTCCTAAGTTGGACTTTATGGTTTCTAAGTATTTTACATGGGATTAAAAACCCAGGGTATAGGAAAAACTTTATGACCCTCATCTGGTTGATACCCCGTAGCATTTTATATTGTTTTTTGTAATCAAATTTTACATCTTAAATTTCAGGTTAGAACAATTAATCCTCTCTGACATTGGAATTTCTTCGATACATTTTCCGGATGCTGGAATCGGTATATAAGATTAGTACAGTTCCACCTCGCCCCCCATACTTTAGCTGCTTCCTTCACTTCTACTGTGTAACTGAATTCTCCTTTTTATAGGGTGCAAAACATCCATGTTCCCGTCCTTGCGGTACCTTGTAGTAAATGACAATCAGATATCACAAGTAAGCTTCTTCGGAGTACGCACTGCACATCATTGCTTCTTTCCACTTTAGTGGCAGAGTTTGTAGGTTCCTTCTACTAAAAAACTAAAAAAAAATTTTTAAATCAAAGAGAAATGCCAGGGCGGGTGCAGTGGCTCACACCTGTAATCCCAGCACATTGAGAGGCTGAGGCAGGCGGATCTTGAGGTCAGGAGATCGAGACCATCCTGGCCAACATGGTGAAACCCTGTGTCTACTGAAAATAAAAATTAGCTGGGCGTGGTGGTGGGCACCTGTAATCCCAGCTACTTGAGAGGCTGAGGCAGGAGAATCGCTTGAACCCGAGAGGCAGAGGCTGCAGTGAGCCGAGACTGTCCCACTGCACTCCAGCCTGGTGATAGAGTGAGACTACATC